TTTTTCTAAATGAAATTAATTTGTGAAGAAAGAAGTAATAGGAAATACAAAACCCAATCGAAAGATCTAATATTTGTTTTGCGAAATGTATTTTTGCAAGAGAAACGAAGAGTATGTCATTTTTAAAATAAAATCTATATGAAAGAGACAATTGGTTCGTTTTATTTTGAGTCATTGTTGGAGAATTCCTAATCAAGTATCTTCGTCTATATCTATTGTTTGCTTATAAAATGTGTTTGATAGCAACATGTTATAAAGTAATACGAGTCTACTTATTTTCTCGTTTTTTCGATATTTTTGCATCGACGCAATGAGACACTTGGCAAACACAATAAACACTTTAGATCTTCATCTTATAATTGTAATCAGATTATTACGCATTCACTTTTATTGGTGCATGAATCGTGTTTTACAAAAAGACACACTGGCTCCCGACCGACCCTTCGTGACCCTGACATTCATTCGCGACGAACGCAAAAACTGTATTTCGACCAGTGGACAAAAATTTAGAGCCAATTCACACGATGGCCGCGCGTAACTTCAATGTAAATTGAATAACTCTCTCTTTGTGTAAAAATGAAATATTATCAAACATTCTATTTGACTCTTCAGACACTGATGGTATTGGGTCTACAGGCAACAAAAAAGATCATTAATGCAAGTACAGATTAGAAGGTGATTAGAAAACAATCCAGACACAGGGTTAAAGGCTATTCAAGTTAAGTCACGTAACCCAAACTAAAACACCTTTCTAATTGATTGTGATAGCAAGCTAAGCTGAATTGGGTCTGAATTTGGACTATTTGTTTTAAATTTAATCATAAAACAAAATGATTTTTCATATATGTAAACCCAAAATGGCAAACGTTTTTAAATTTAGCCAGACAAACTACCAAATACCGATAAAAAAAATGGAAAATGCATCAGACAAATCCTCGCTTAAAATGTAAGCTGCTTTTTTTTGGATATATGAAAAGTTTATCATTTAGAAGATAATTTCCCAAAATAACTTGATGTGAAAACAATTATTTATTTTGTTCAATAAAAATGTTCGAATCAATTTTCTACACGAAACATTAACTTGGATATTATTTTTTCTTTATTCAAAAACGATACAAATATATTACTAGAATTTTTTATTTATTTGTTTTACATTTGACGTTTTAAAGTGACTTTTTCGCGATTGACACCTGATCGATAAATTTTTTCGCGATTTTGAATTGACCAGCCATCATTTAGGCGTGCCTTAAATTGTTCACTTTCACGATTCATAAAGCAAAAGTATTTCAAATATTTGAACATAGTTATGACATGAAATACGGCATCAACAGATATATTAGATTGGTCTGTAATTTCTTCGACTAACGGCAAAATAGAAATCAATTTTGAATAATCCAAATCGTTGATACATATTTTCAATTTTTTTATCGTTGAATTATTCTGCAAAAAATCATAGATGCATGGTAATGGATACCACGAATCAATTTCGAATGTTTCCAGCTGATCAAATAAAAACGGGATCTTCTCAATATATCTAACCGCAATGGTAAATTGTTTGACGTTCCTTAAATAGATTTTTTCTCTGATATTTGAAAAATTGGAATGGTAATTTCGCAATTCAAGATGTTTAGATTTCCGCTCATTTTCAGCAAAAACTTGAAGAATATCCATCGCTGCATGATCGTTGCAATCCATGAACAGGTATTTTAGTTGTGGATTCAATTTCAAAAAATTTCTCAAAACTTCGAAACATTCAGTGTCCTTTATGTAGTTACCTAAACAGATAGGAGTTATTTTGAAGTATTCCAAGTGAGGAAAATGATTGACAATATATCCACTATGCATAAATGATGAACACTTCGCATACAATGTTAAATTTTGCATTCTTGGAAATATTTCTGCCAGTTTACTATTTTGTTCGTTTGAACCATTTGATACAATACAAACAGTTTTTGTCCTTGTGAATGATTTTTTAAAAAAATAATTCAAACCGCCATCTCTCCACTTCACAAATCGAATGTCACTAACGGTTTCACTGCAAAATTCATTTATGTAGTCGGTGATATATGGCCTCTCCATAACAATACAATCTATTCGGGTTATTAGACTCCCAAAGATACGCAGTGTTTGCAGAACAGTTTTTAAATCCTCGATATTTAATTTACCTAGCCTAGACGGATATACATCTTTGTCTCTACAGTTTGCGTCAGAATCGAACTTAAATTCATAGTTGGCGTATTTCTCAACAAAGACAAATTTCGAAGCATGACGCAGTCTTCCATTTGAATCAGCAACATTAAGAAGATCTTGATATTTCAAATGCTCCAAAATTCCTTCGAGGCAGTCAATATTTAAATCGGTTAGTATCATTTTCAAATGATGAAATTTTGATATCTGTCGAAAAGATAAAACCAAACAATGTTAGAAAACAACGCAATTTAAACATATAGTACTTAAAAACAATTGATTGGATAAAACCTTACTTGTTTTCTCAATAGCTGCGAATTTGCTGCAATCACTTAATTGTCCGTATATTATATTGACTTTTTCTCATTCGAATTCTCTACAGTTTAAAAAAATTTCAAGTGACGTTCACAATTTAAAGTAGTTTTCGTGTTGAACATCAAAACACAACTGCCTACATTCTTCAGACGTTCGATCGTATATAATGAGACATCTTTTGGTGGTAAGTCTACAGAAATAATGTAAATGTATTGTTTATGCGTATCTGATATAAACTTTAATTGTCAAATTTTGTGTGTGTAGGTAAAAAAAAGATCATTAGTGCAGGTACAGATTGGAGGATGATTAGAAAACAATCCAGACACAGGGTTGAAGGCTATTAAAGTTAAGTCGTACCATCTAAAACTAAAAGAGAATCGTCTCGAAGAGAACTATCGAAGAGATTATTTATGAAAAAAAAAAACATTAAACAATTCGATTCTCTTTCCTTTTATTTTCTTCATTTAAACAGGAGTTCAAGCATTGGTGGTTCAATACAATTATTTGAACGGAATTCTTTTTATTTGTCATATGATTTGATTTTCAAGCAGCAACAACATAATAATATAAAAAGAAAAACACAAAATTTTATCTTGTCTTCACCAAACACACACACACTTCATAGATTAGTATGGAAAGTGTGTTTGCCGCTTTAGCGGAACACGTACTTCAACGAAAACTACCATCTCGGTCTAATCATGTAGCTCGAATCTTGCCAAAAACATGCATATCACCCAACGACGCAACCATTAATTTTTATCATATTTCTTTAGCTCTTTTGTCACGTTTTCTTTTTATATTATAATTTGGTGTCATCAAGCAAGAATCTTTACATATGAATTTGTTGGAAGAGTTGAACGGTCAAAATTAAAACCGATTTCTTACAAATGGCTATGGTAAACCAATGAAAAAAAAACACACACATCCATTTGATTTCAAATCACAACCGTTTGATTGCGTATTACTTTTTTTGTATTGTCAATTGTGTATTATGTGCGCCACGAAATGAAACTACCTGAATTTGACTTGATTATATGTTCCAAAATAAAATTGTCGAAGGTGCATTGAATGAAATACTGTGGCCTTTGCGAAACACATTCGAACAATTTAATTCAAACACAAAACACAGAACAACAAACAATTTGGAACAGAAATCAAAAAAATTATTATTATTAAAATCGAAGAAAAAAAAAAAACAAAAAATTATGAAAACAAACAGACTTTATGAAGATGAAAATATATATTTACAAATACGAAATCTATTTTGTGAAAATCATTTGTATTTGAGCCATCATTTAAAAGACATAACAATAAGATATCTATAAATAATACAATGAATATTAGTCAAAACATCCAAGTGGAAGCGGATGATGATGATGATGATGAAGAAAAAAAAACATTTATTATCAAATATGGCTGTGAAACTAATTAAAATAAACACAATAATAGCATAATGTTTTTTTTTTTGTAAATAACTGACAATTGATATGAGTCAAGAGAAAAGTGACAGCAAAATAGACAAATACAAAATGGAAATGAAGAAAATCTCTTCACAATTGTTATAATCAATTTCACTCTGATAATCTGAAGATAACTTAAAACGATTTCTGGTTTATGATTTGAAGGGAATTCCTGATGCAATTCGCATAATTTATGCATTCATTCATTGTGTGATACAATTTATGGATGCCTTAAATTGGTCTTTCAGTTTATGCATCAGTTATGATCAAATTTGCTAA